CGGAATACGTACGTTAAAAGATGCCATCCTCTCTAGTCACGCGGTTACGTTAGAGAAGACTGTGCACGATCCATGGTTTTTGCGGGAGGATATTTTTATGTGCTACGCTTCGGCACGCCATAATCGTCGGATGACTAAACGCGCAGTCGCGTGTAATTTTCGCTGAGCTGTCCCGAATATCTCCGAGACAAAGCGGCTTCATTTAGATACACAGCGTCGTTTTTCGGATTAATCGCCGCTGAGAGGAAGCGATATACATCGTCATCGGGCTGAGCCGGCCAATTGTGCAAACAGGGAAAATGTAATCGAGAAGTATTAATCGGCCCGAAAAACAATACACGAATTAAGAAGCGATTCTGACACCTTCATCACAAACTGCCGCAACAACGAAATATTTACGAGAAGAATATTTTTTTTTCTTTCGAGATCACGAATTCTGTAAAAATAACGAAGCTAAAAGGCAGACGAGTAAAATAATTTTAAGACTAATTTTAAAACAAAACCAACTCTAAAAAAATAAAAATAAAAATAAAAATAGAAAGAATTACCATTAAAATTCAAATTGTACGTTAATTGTATGAAATTTTTCGAGAATAAAAATTCTTTCGCCTGAAACTTTCCTTTATGCGATTTCGAAGGAATGACGTAAATCTCGCCGGAACAGGGTGATGATCGCGAATGCGTAGCCTGTCGGCCGGACGGTCGGCCCGTTTTAATTGGCGGCCACTAATTGTTAATTATCAGCGGTATCCACCCGCGGGAAACCTGACGTAAGAGGCTTAAAGCCATTTACACGAGGACGAGTTCGACCCGCCTTCGCAAACGTTACCAACACTGCTGCCGACGATGAGGAGAGACGCACGTCGGGTTTACAACGTTATAACACACAGGGCAGGTGTGCATATGTAATTTCTCGTGCGCACGCCCTCCTCCGCAAGGCAGCAACACGTGAAAAGATACCAGAGAGATCCGCGGCGGTTTACATTATTTATTAGGCGTATCGTCAACGCATCGATGCGACACACCGAAAGGAAGCCAGGAAAAACGGCTGCATAATCAACAATTAGCCGGCTGATACATGCTACGTGATAGTTTTTTAACGAGTCTCCGATCGCATTTTCTTGGGGTTTGTCCTCCCCTCTGTCTTCGTATATAACTCGTGCCGATTAATAATTTATCGCGTGATCGATACAGTATGATCGTGAAATTCCAAAGAAGAATTCAAAGTTAAAAAGACGCGTTCACTTTCTTCAAAGCCCAATAAGTATTTTTAATCACGCAAATATTTTGATACTGTGTTTCATCAATTATAATAACTTGCTGATAAGCTATCAAAATAATTATTAAAAAGTTAAAAGTTTATATTTAAAAAATTTGAAGCTTTTATATTTGAAGCATCTTTAAATGTTATTTTTAATTGTCGATTTGATCATTCATTTAAATGACATATCATTTGTTAATCTGTCGTTGTAAATCTTATTATTATTCATACTTAGATTATCAGAGATGACACATTCAGCGACAATTCTGTTTTAAAAAAAATTTGGGAAACAAAGACATGCTACAAAACCTAACTCCGTTCGCGCACCGATATAGGAACAATAGTTTGCTGCGAGAAACAATGAGAGCAGATGAAGAGTTTTTCTCTGTCTCTCTTTCTCTCTCTTGACTGCGCCGACTCACTCGACGAGAATGCAACTTAAGCCCATGTAAAGCCAGACCACCGCAAAAGGATCAAATCCGCGGAATAGGCCTCTCTCGGCTCGCCAGATTCTCTCGGATCACCCGATAGAGATACATACATAGATATATCACGCGTGTGCGTGTCGCACTATCCGAAGGATCAGGAGGGGAGGGGAGGGGAAATCGAGTCACTCCTCGAGAATGTGATTTAAGTCCGTATAAAAGACGACGTTGCACAGAATTACAAGCGGCATGCAGTTCCGTTCGTCGACAGGAACGAATTCTCCTCCCCCGCGACACCGCGTAAAGAATACCGAACGATCGCCTCCATTCAACAGAGATGTTGCTTGGACGCGACGGAATCACTTCGCATTCCTCGCGTCACTACAAGTAACGTCGGACTTGAAACACAAATGAACTAACTTTGTTAATGTTCGATATATTTTTATGTTGTGTTTAAAAAGTATATATAATATTAAAAATTATCTTTTTTTTCTTTCTGAATCCTTAAAGATCACATGTGGATTATTTTGGCACCATCGATATTTTAACAATAAAATATCCCGAAATTTTAATCAATAAAAAATGTTTAAAATTTATTTTTTAACTTTTGTTGTACATGTTAATTTTCTATGAAAATCGAGGAATATATATATAAATTTTTTATGTAGATTTTTATGGAATGTTTGGATTTTTTTTAATTATGTGAGACAGCTGCGAAAAGACATATAATTGTGACTCTATGAAGGAACTTCTCCAGAAACGAAGCAAAAAAAACATGTAATAAAAGTTGCATTTCAAATGCGTTAAATATGCATGAAATATACCATATTAATTTTCAAGCATTTGTCGATTTGTAAAAGTTTTTAAAAGGAATGTGAAAGTACAGGAAGATTATTGTGTGCCTTTCCCAGGAGGAAAAGAGAAAAATGGAAAAAAAGAAAGAGTGAAAATGCCTAATGCACAGCCTAATGTGGTAACTTTAATGCTTCAATTCGCCTGAAGTATTTCATAATTATAATTTAAATTGCTTCTCTCTCTCTCTCTCTCTCTCTCTCTCTCTCTATATATATATATATATATATATATATATATATATATTTATATTGCTTTTTCGATATATTAATGAGATGGCAAACTGCATTTTCCTTTGTTTGACCGAGCGTAACAATGTCTTCAAGGTTATCTGAGTGACAATTGCATCATTAGCGAGTTATGCGTTTATTAAATAACCGAAAAATTTACGACGCTGTAAAAATTTACGGTAAAAGGGTAGGCGCGACCGACCGTCTTCCATATCGTTAATCCTTACACCGTAAAATCTAAGAAGCACGAATGGGAGTTTAAGCTGGTCGGAATGGCAGCGGATAGAAGCAAATCCGCGCGAACGAGGCCAAGATTACCGTAATGACTCGCTTTACGATTACAGTTATCGAGACGGAAATCTGCGAAAGCCCCGACGTTAACCGCGGAAACCAGTCTTGAGAGGCTGGTGGCCGCCGTCCTCCAAAGCGAAACTTTGCTTCGTACGTTCTAAAACATACGGAGCATCCTACGATATGTTCGGAATCATCCGGTATTTAACTTCGGTTAGAAACTTCACGCTTACGTTTGTCCTCTTATCTTTCGAGATTTTATTTCCCCTCAAGCGCTAATGGCTTCAATTAGTATTATAAACAAGTGATTTAAAATCTAAAATTGTAGAAATGTTTGCTATCGTAAAAGAGATATCATCGAATCGAGAGAGAAGAGTGCCATTGTTTATTTTTATTACTAGCGAATCGAGTATTATCAAAATTTAACAATTCATTTTCAAACAATCGTGCGATACAAAATTCAATTAGATCTCGATATCATTGATGTGAAAGTTAAAAAGATGAAATGCTGTCACGTACAAAGAGACGCAATACTTATTTATCTTGATATATATCATGCATCACAATTTTTAAAAACCTATTATACCTCTTTTTTAATCATCTAGTTTGTTTCAAACTTATAATTACGTAATTGCTTCATAACACGAAGAATATAATTTCCTTGTTTAAAAAATGTTAAATTTTCATCTTTGAAATGTTTCAAAGCTATAATTATTTAAACGCGATACGCATAGTCATAAATCTTAACGTCCATGTAAGATAAGCAGGATATATCTATGGTACGCACAAAAGTATCTCAGGTACTTTAACGAGAGATCTCGCGATCTAATTAATACAATTATTCTGACGACGACGTATATTGGATGAGAGAGAGAGAGAGAAAGAAAGAGAGAGCCGCTTCTATTTATTTGTAACTCTCATGAAATACATCTGCTCTAGCATTAATGACCATCGTGATCAATTAATTCCTATTAATTGAGAGAAAAGGGAAGAGGGGAGCCAGAGAGAAAAACAAAGACGAGATACACATATATATGCCGGATGAATTATGATTGAATCGCGATAACGAGCAGTATCCGCTTACAGTAAATTAACCGGATGCTTGATCATGTTGTCTCTTCGCAAAAAGAATTTTCAATTATCTGACTTGATGATGAATATGGAGAATCGCACGAATAGACGACAGAATCTGATTCATCGCGTCGACTGATTTGTTTTCAATTATTTCCCTTTAACGTAAAACTTTTTAACAACGCTAGTTCGAGAAGAAAATTCTTTGCTGCGAAAAATACTTTTCTCCGTACAATAAATCGCGAAAATATTGTAAGCAAGAAACAAGAGTGAACAAACGGACACATCGAGAGGATGAAGATATTCTTGGAATTCCGTGAAAATATATTCTTTCGCGGATGATGACGGTGGATACGACGCTCCCCTCCCTTCGTGTGTTTTTCGTATGCAACCGTGACCACCGCCTAATACGCGACACAGCGGCACATACTAATTAGCCTTGCGAGCGAAACGCGTCATGAATACAACTTCACGTGGAGAGAGAGACAAACATTAGATACGAGAGCCATGGTGCTCGAGGCTAAACGTTGAGAGGCACTTCCTGTTGCAACGATCGCTACCGAAGAGGAACCCTATAATTACTCTTCCTCGCAATTATCAAAAGATATTTAACACCGTTATTTCCAAGATGCTAGTAAATTGAAAAAAAATATATATATATTTTTTTTTTTGCGATAAAATTATAATGCGAGCAAGACACGGACCGATTCGAGAAGTCGTATACGAATACTAAACTAATATCTTTAAAAGATTAAGGGCTTTTATCTGAACAATACGTACTCGAACTGTAAACGCATTGTTTATCTTGTCCGAAGTCGAGTGGCAAATTTCACGCGAACCAGCTGAGACATCAAGTGCGTTCGTTGCAAGACACCGGTTCGCGTTAGAATTTACGAGCCGAGGAATTCTCGGACACATGCCGGACACCTTCGCGGACATGGTCAGTACAATGCCGCAATCGATAGGAATTCTCGAAATTTATCGTTGGCGGTTAAGCGCGTCTTAGCTATTATACCGTTATATCCGACCAATGCGAAACATAAAATATATTCGCACATTGACAATTTAAATTAGCCCATTTCAATAAACGACGATGATAATCAGGCCGCATAATTTCCCTGCTTATCGCTTATTGTCCTCGATTTTAACGGCAGTCGACAATTCACGTTTACGCCCAGTGCAATTCCTCTCTGATATATTTACCCCACTCTCCTGTCCCCCGTACTGTTTCCAATAATTGGGCGACGAGCTGAGTTGCACGATCGAGCTGGTTACAGACAGGTTGCCGGGACTCGACGCTTGAAATCGGTCCGTCACCGACGCATTCTGCATCTGTCCAGGTTGATTCGAATTGTGCTGGATGCTGCTGGACGTCATCGGCGTGTTGCACGGTGGACCGGCGCGTGAACGATTGCACGCGATCTGCAACAGATTCGTGCCACTCGCGGCGAGCGCTCTTCCCGAGCTCATCGCAACCTGCTGCACGTGCGCGTTCCGCTGGCTGACCTGAGCACTTCGTCGAACCTTGCACTGATTGCTCTGACCGGCGGTCTTCGACTCGAGGCCGGATTTCACGTCGATCCCGAAGTCGCTCAGTTTAAAGTTCTGTTGATTCATCTTGAAGTCCGCGTTGTTCTTAAAACTCCGATCCATCTCGATTCCGGTGGGAGTAAATTGTGATTTCAAAGGGTCGACCACCTTCTGCTCTCTTCGCTCGACATGCTTCGATATGTCTCAGGTTTTAGATATATGTCTTTATCCAAAGTCGATTCTTTAGTGCAATCGAGTAAAATATGTACAAAAATTTAATTTTCGTTACTAATTTTTGCTCTCTGGAAAAGACGAAATTCCAAGCAAACTGTTGCGTATTTATCTTCTGTGGTGGATTACAAAATTACAGGACCTTATAAATTTTATTCGATGACGTGTGTTTCTTCCGTGCGCGGCACTCATCGTTGTTGTTAAACTTCTTCTGGAATTAATCGGCCGGCGAAGGTACGTTAAATGAAATGGGAGATGAGATTAATTGCAGGCGCTTCGCATGTCGTGACGATACGTTTGACAATTCACCACTGATTACGCAGCGCTTGCTACCTTGACACGATTCCAATCTCCAGTATTGTTGCACGATCAATCCACGATGTAACATTCCAATTCGCATCTTTCCATTCGCATTTTTCAAAGTCTTTCACTTACAAGTGACTTGAAATTTGCACTCGGCTGACACAATTTCCCGCTTGATACGATCGAATGCTGTGTCATAATCTAAGTAATACCCGGATATTAAGGACAGAACGGTCGACACGGTCGTTAATTATCATATGCCAATCGGATACGCTAAAGACAATGAATTAACAGTCGGTGAAACTCGAAAATCTCGCTCGCGCGGATCGCTTAATCAAAGGTTGCCGCGGCAGCGATCGGCTGAATCGAATCGGCGCAACGTTTCGTTATACTCTTTAGCACGCGAATCGCCGCGGCCGCGATAATCGTTAATCACCAGTGAAAGTTGCGGCGCGAAACGCCCGAGTTCCGCGAGGGAAAAATCGAGTTTGATTTTGCGTCTCGAGGAACGAGACGGAGGCAACTCGACAGATCGATGGAATCCATCTCGTCAAACGACGAGATTATTATCGTCGTCGATATAATTCAATAACGCAACAGTTGTCGATAACAAAAGTATTTGTAAAACAAATAGCACCTGCTGCACACAATGATAAAGACAACCTTTGATTAATTTTCAAGCGGACTTTTACAAGAAACTTTTACCGCAATCGACTTTAATCATTTAATGGCTATTTTTTTATATAACGTCGATTAGTTTACACGCGCTCGGGTTTTCCGATGCTTTCACGACCCGATCGAATCTCGCTCGTCGATATAATAACCGCGAACGCAATTGCATCACACAGTATCGTGCACGATTCTGCCACAAAACACAATACGTAGCGCTCTCTCATACGATCGCCCCGTTGCACTGTTTGGAGATTTTTCTACTTGGCACACGAAAAATTTGCAAGAAATATATTCTCGCGTACACGTACGCGAAACGTTTCACGGCGGAAACAATCGAGGAAGACAGAGAAAGGTAGAGGATTAGAAGCCAAAACGGCCAGCTGCTTAGCCAGTAGAGAGACGACTGGTTTTGTGTTAGCCGACTCATAGGCTATACACTGCACACGGCAGGAGGAGGCTGGGGTCCAGCATACCCCTCCACCAGACGATACACAGAGCAAGTGTGCCTGTCCCCCCTGCAATACGCACGTATAAGTCTCTTACGCGAGTGTCCATGTTGTATGTGTTTGTACCGATGCATTCTCTCTCTCTCTCTTTCTCTCTCCCGCTTCCATCTCTTGTGGCTCGACCCCACGCGAGATGCTTACACAGTCTCGTTTCGCACTATGCAACTCCGCAGAGAGGAACTGCAAGCGTTGCACTCCGCGTGAGAGTCGAGTAACGTCTGCGCGCTAAAAAATCGTGGGAATTAAGAGCGAAGTCCTGCATCGGAAGAGACCGAGCGATACGCCTGCATCGTCGTTTAATGACGTAACGTTACGTTCCTGACATTGCGTATAAAAATAAATGTTTATGCGCACAGTCGCGTTATTAAGGTATTTTTACATCCCCGATAATAAATTGCAATAATTACGCAATATATTTCTAATGTCAGCGAAAATACAAGATTAATGCAGCTATCGTCCCATCTCATCAATTTTCCACGTAATTAAATTTCAACGATTTATGCAGCATCCAAACCGCAAGAGCATGCAACGTCCTAGATAACGCCTAATTATGTACAACGTTCATTTGATAATAATATAGATGAAAAGTATAAATCCAATCGGATATTGATTCGAGGGGGGAGTTGTTTGCAACGGGGCCTATCTGCCCCTCGTTGCATGCCGGATCATTAATCGTGGATCGGCGATATCTTAATCGCCTGTTACTTGAGGTTTTTTTTTTCTCTTTATAGGAGGTCAAATACCTCGACGTGGCATCGAGCATTATTTCCAACCCATCAGCCGTGACGTGATACTATCAATCCAGCTTTTCTCGCACGATTCGCCGGGATTTACGAAACACTTAATCCTTAATTGTTCGTTTTATCAGAAATCAAAAAAAAAATTCGACCATCCCTCTTTATTGCGCTTAACATTAAAAGATGCTCTGTAGCATTAAATCTTCCTTTTTTCCAAATAAATGCCAAGCAATTAAAGTTTGCTTTCTCTGAAATTTGACAACAGTACAAAGTTTATGATTTTATAATTTATTATTTATTAAAGTGAAAAATATGTGTCATCGAGAATATATTGTCATATTCAGGAAGACTTCACTTGTGTCACTCAATTCATTCTATTGAAAAATCCCACTCTCTGATTAAAAATTAAATCGCCATTACTTTGTAAAAGAATAAATCTGCATCACTCGTTAAATCTATATATTGTGTGATTACAATCGATCTTCTCAAAGCTTCCAAGATGGAGTTGCATCTTATTGCACCGCGCTATTGCATCTTTCTCTATTCATCTCTTGTTGCGTACCATCACAGAAATACAGAAATAGTTTATCCACGAAGGGATTTCGGAAGAAAGAGAGAGAGAGAGAGAAAGGACAGAGAGAAAGAGAGAAGTTCAAACACGCGAGCGAAGAGAGAGGAAGAGAACAGAAGCAGAAGAAGGAGAATGGAAAGAGAAACGATGGAAAATACGAGCGGGAGTTACGAGTTACAGCGGAAAACGGTGGATTATGTGTGTTTAACCCTCCCTGGCCCGCCTGCCCTCCTTCTTCGACCTCTCTCTCCTTCCCTTCGCCACCGTTCGCGCTTCGCCGTCGCCCAAACGCGCTTCCGAAAGCCCCCGAGTTATGTTTGAGCACGAAAAGTAAACTTCGACTTCGTGGCGACGTGAGGCGCTTTGTGAGGATTAGGTGGCCGCCAACCGGGTGAATCGATTTCTTTGTTCCGACTTCCGCGCCGCGCAAGGGATCGATCCTCAGCGAACGGAATCTGCTACATCGGCGGCTGCGGCGGCGTCAAGGTCCGATGAATCTTTACTCGCTCTTTCGTGCGTGCGAAGATATAAAGGAGAATCAGAGAAGAGGAGAGTGACGTCGATTTTTCGTAAACAATGCCACGCGTAATCCGAGGCGACGGCGAAGAACATCAGGGGGGTCGTTTCAGATGCGATTGAATAGTACAATGAATTACTTGAAATCGTTATTTATACCCGTTATATAAAGAGATCCGAGCTGTATTATGCCACATCGAAATATATTATCTGTCACTTATTTCAATCAAGTTTCTTGAGAGATCCGGTCCAGATGTAGAAAAATAATATTTAAAAATATGTAGAAACATTTGACCTCGAGATATTCATTATTTCTGGTGTTAAAATTTCAGAGTTTCTACTAGATCGAAAAGAACGCGAACGCGATTAAATGAACGTCCATTGCCTCCACAATTCTGGCGAATGCGACTCGGTAACAGCCAAGCTTCTTGACGACGCAAAGTGGAAATACCGCGGTGAGGTAAACCCGAGGAAAAACTAGCCTGGCCCGACGTGCAACAGGTAGGGCAGCCAACGGCAAAGGCTCGATGCAAGTCCGACTTGGAGCAGACCGCGAGCGTGGTGACGGATCAACGACGACGATTGACTTTTAGCGAGATTTAAGTCAAGGTGAACGATACGGGGGAGTCTGGGTCTACCAGGCAACAAGAAACAGTCGCGATAATTGTCGTCGTGTCAAAAAGTTCGTTTCGAAATCTACCAAACCTTCAATATTTATACACATATTACGAGAATTGTAGAAAGCATAATTAATCCTTCAAAGAACATTTTAATCTTATCGATATTTTAACAATAGATTATCCTAAATAATAAAAAAAGTTTGAAACTTATTTTTTAATTTTTGCCTTACATAATCATTTTCTACAAATGTTGAGGAATATATATAAATTTTTGTAGATCGTTTCAAGCACTTTGAGGCAGATAAAAAAATTGCAACATTGTAATTCATAGGAAGATTAACAGAACGAAAAATGTATGTGATGTACAAGAATTAAGAAATCTTTTTGTTAAACACTGTCTCTAAACTGATTTTTTCGATAAAGATTTTAATGTATAATTTGTATATAATCTATGTTTATATATCACTGTCATATATATGCAAACTCAAATCATTAAACACTGCATTTTATGGTTCAGTGACATAATGGATATCGCACTTATTCCTCTATTACCTTTCCCCTATCTGTATAATAGACATACTAATCGCGCAATCGCGGTGCGGTAACGAGTAGGTGGTCCGCCGCCGATACGGATCAGATCGCGAAGTAAAGTGCGGTAGCGAATCGTGCAACGAGGCGAGCGAGCGAGCGAGCGACATGGAACTCGCGTCGATCAATGCGAGTCTTGCCGATTACTCAACGAAACTGGTAATCGTATCACTGCGGGGTTCGCGAAGTGCCTAATCGCAACACCTTCACCTAGATATCTCGATGTTTGCGACGACGACGACGATATATCCTTTCGAATCGTTAGCGGCGCGCAATAATTCAACCACATCGTCGAGACACAGGTTGATTTCTTTTCTTATCTTTTTTTATTCGTCGGAAATTGCGATCAAATTTAAAACCGTTTAAAGACGATTTTTGATAAATTCAAGATCGATTATTACAAATTACGAATTGCATGCATTATTTATTCATGCGTAATTTATTAAATACGGAATAAAAAGTTGGAAACATTTTCTTGCAACGTTTTAGGAAAAGATAATATTAATCTAAGTTTTATTTACGATTAAATATAAATTTGTCAAATCTATGACAGAGAAGAATTATGTTTATCATTTTCTTTCCCGCAATTAAATTTGCATGACGAAGTTTTAACGCGAATTTTGTTTAATTTCGATCGTTGACTACTTAATCAAGGAAAAGAATTAGATCCGCGATCGCGTAGAATTAGCACAAAAGTAGCTCAAAAGATTGACCAACTTTTACCGATAAAATCTCGGTCTTATCGAGAAAGAGTACAAATTTATATCGCGCCCGAGAAAAAGAGAGGGAGGAAAGCGAAAATGGAAAAAATTGAAAAAAGCGTTTCTTTCTCTCTCTTTCTCTTCCCCTTCGGCGGTTCAAAGACCGTCTAAGCGTATGCGACTCGTCGTTTCCCTGCATGATTATGGTCCCATTCATGTGCGACCAGTTTGGCTCGGTTTCTTCT